TAGTTGACCATTAGAAATCTGTTAAAAAAAATTAATTATGGTAAGGAATCGACCCGAACGATTCCATAATTATATTTGGGACCCGACGGTTTCATTTATTAAATACCCGAAAATTTTGATTCGATTCGATTCGGTTCTCTGACCATGCCCAGCTCTAAGTAGAGAACTAATTCCTCCTGATCTACAATTTGGACGTTAGTTCTTGATGTCATCCTCGTCTCGTTTTCTCTCTCTTTATTCAGTTAGTAGAGGATTAATTCTTCCCGATCTACAATTTGGACATTAGTTCTTGATGACAATCTCGCCTAGTATTTTTCAACCACTGTCCACGTGAAATCTTTCTCGTTAGTCGGCGAGCAAATGATTAATTCTTCCTTATCTACAATTTAGACGTTAGTTCTTGATGACAATCTTGCCTTGCATATTTCAGCTACCTCATTAATTTATGTAGAATCATGCCACTCCATAAAAAATTATCATTGTTTTCTTTTTTATATTATCATACATGACTTGTTATTAAATTTTCTCATATCTATTATCTATTAAATATACATGCTATGTTACCCCTTCGGGGGTGGTCGAGTTGGTGGAGCAGGTGAGCCCGTCGCATCGAGCTTGTCTAGTGCGGTTTACCTCTCTTGTGTGGTTTGCAGGCTACATCATATGGAGCGAGATTTACCTAGCACGCACTCATAGTGGTCAGGACTCCGCCCATTCGGGGTGGTGGGCGCTCTGCTAGTGGGTAGCGGCTGCGGGTTCCTACGTAAAAAATAATAATATATACATGCTATATTTGAAGAAACAATTGCCTAACTTGATGGTGAATGAGAGAACCAGTGTGAGGGTTTATTTGAATACGTTTAAGTTTAAATGTTGACGTTGTAATTGATGACAAAAATAAAATAACTACTATGATGGTTTCATTGCCTAAGTCATATGAAACGTTATTGACCCATATTGTTAGTTAGGAAAACCTTGTTGAGGCTGAGCAAGGTCTTTGGTGCTATATTATGTGCATCGCTATGAAAGAATTATGATGAAAATGGACGATCATTTTCAATCTTGTCAAAAGAGAGACGTGAAATGTTACTAAAGTCACAACAAATGGACGTTAGGAGAAATTGTGACGAATTGACGAATAATCTTGAAGCAATGAAAAGTCAAAAAATTAGGAAGTTTCAAATTGTACAAATGTTGTTGACGATGACTTTGATGGAGATGGCCTTTATTTCTTCCAGAAGGTCCATTGGGAGGGCTCAAAAATACTTATTTTTTCCTCGTTTTAGAATATAAAATGTGAGAAATTGTTTTTCCTCAATTCAAAGAATGCAAAAAAAGAAATATTTTGATAGAAATTATCATCAATGCATGTCAAGATATATTTATCAATGGAAGTTTGACGTTACGACTTCGATAAAAAATAGTTAGAGACATAAGTGTTACGATTAAAAGCCTTAACCAAAATTAAAATGTGCTTCATGATAAAAATTATAGTGCAGCTATAACCACCCATTATCTTATTCAACTCTATACAAGTAAAATAATTATTTGCATGCACACTAATATATACCTTATGATATGTTGTAATGATAACACAAAAATACAAATGCATACCTATTTATTTAATCCGAGACTTTTGTCATTCGAATTTCATTTTTTATTTTAATGTCAAAAATTTATGGTAATCATATAGTTGTTATCATTAAACTCGACATCAAATTTTTTTTTTAATAACCGTGGATGTACGCCAGCTTGCGCGCACCTCGACTAATCCCACAGGTCCCTGAAGTTTACGGCCTGGTACTCACCTCAGTGACCATGAGGGGACTCGAACTGATGACCTGACTATGAAACTGAGATGCGAATAAAAAAAAAACTATTAAGCTAAACATCTAAGGGAGCCAAACACGAATCCCAAAAAACAAAACAACTACTTATATGATATAACGAACAATTATATAAATGAAAAATTGGATAACCAACCTTGAAAATTGAGCCAGAATTCGAGAAAATTATTAGTAGAAGGAAAAAATGGGGTGAGCTTGAATTAAAGTAAGATTAAATGTTTACTCAATTGTGATGGACGAGCGATGAATATGATTCAATAACAGTTATTCAGCATTTTAGTCAATTTGAGGTTTTGCATATTCAATTGAATATGATTTAATTAATTAATTGAAATGAATTATTTTCTAATTGGGTATTGAGTTTAATTGTGGGTTCGGTATTGGGTATGACTGGGTTCAGTCTAATATGAATGTGTCTTTCTTTTTAATTGTGATGTATTTAGTTTTAATTGAGTTAGATAAAATTCAAATTAATTTAAATTTTGACTTATTTTTTTTGTAATCTATTTGATGATGAAATGAAACATAACCCAAACATAATCTATTTAGTTTTAATTGAGCTAGATAAAATTCAAATTAATTTATTTTTTGTAATCTATTTGATGGTGAAATGAAACCTAACTCAAACCACTCTGAAGCGGTTTGGTTCGATTCAAAACTAAAACTTTGAAGGATTCATATGGATCCAAACCAATGATTTTGAAAAGCTATTTTGAGGTTTGAAGATTACATTCTTGTCTTCAATATTTTATTAATTAATATATCTTGTTCCTGGTGACAATTTTCGTCCAAAAATTTTGTTAGGACCATGTAAAATTATTTATTTATCCTTACAATTTTAATAAGTAAAAAAGACAACAAACACAAAGTGCAACAAAACATTTACCTCTCATTTCAAATTACATAATTAAACTCTTGTTTGATAATTATACCTTTTCAACTCTTTTTTTCTACGTACTTATTTTCAACTATACATTACACAATAAAATATTTTGCATATAAACCCAAAATTCTTCCCTACTTTTTAACCACACATTATCATAAAAATTTACTATATAAAACTCTATTTAATTTTCAAATAGTATGATTGTCAAATAGGGGCTAAATTCAAATCATAATCAACGACCACATGTGCTAATTAATGGAGGATTCAAAATAAAATACGACATAAAAAAAGAAGAAGATAAATTTAACAATACGCAAAAATAAGAACCACACGTGCGAAATTTTTTAATCTCATCAAGTTTGTTTGCATTCACTTGCTCATTTTTCTTCTTTTCTTTTTCTTCCTTTTAGTTGAGAGTAGGGAGTACAATCATTATTTTCACTCGACTTTTTATCTGGAATACGGATGTAGACCGTTCACCAAAGACTAAGGGTGTGTTTGATCCACATTATTTTGGAAGAATGTATTTTGGAATGGTAGATTTATGGAGAATTTGTAGTTGGAAAAGAAGGAAAAGTTATTGAGGTGATGGAAAATATTATTTTATTGAAAAATGTGCGGTTGAAAATGAGTAGAATAATAAGAATGAAAATTTTAATGTGTACCAGACATGGGCTAAGTTGGTATAAACATAAAATAATGAGGACTTGAATGTGTCAAAATAAAAGTCCAAGACCCATATGTATAAATTAATTAATTATAAAAATTTATAGGTCTCACAAGATCCCATCTAGGTGTAAAGACTTGGCCTTTAAAGGTTTCAACTACTTCCTCCACACAACCCACAACGACCCCACTTTATAAAGTCAAGAATTCGGAAAATTGATGAATAAATATGTTCCATCCCTAATTATTTAAATTTTTTATAGACAAAATCAGCAATATTTAAAGGAGCGTGATTTTTAGTTGAAACATAAATGCACAGGACCGCATTATTCACTCACATATATCGGTCTTTATTGCAGGTACAACTGATTTTTTCATTAAGTTTCATGAAATTGAACGCACCTAAGTTACTCGAAAGAAATGGGTGTTAAGCCATTCATATAGCCTACTTTAGAAAGTAGACTGCTGTAATCGTAAGATAAGAACTGAAAAATAACGCGTGACCGACGAATGGTCGATTCTTTCAAATATAGATAGAGATTGAGATTCAAGAAAGGTCTCCCAATATATTTATTTTTAAACAAAATACAAGTTAAACCAAACTCATTGTTGTCAAATGAAGTACATTATACATGTTTGAATATAAAACCCTAATCTATAGAAATGACTTGAGTGTACATTAGTCATAACTTTTGAGAAGCTAAAAATGAGTTTTTGAGATTTAAAAATTGCTTTCGAAAATCCATTTAATTAATTTTATAAAAATATTTCTTCTAATTATAAGAGTTTTAGAGGAAGTTGATTAAATTTGACTTTCTCTAAAAACTCATTCGAAAGAGGTAACTCTTTTAAAAATTATTTTCAAACATTAGATAAAGAGTAATGTTATTTAGGATCCGTTTGATTGCAAGAATTGAATTTGGGTGGGAAAAAAAAATTCCTGGGAATTGAATTACTTATAACTTGTTTTATTGGAAATTGTCAATTAATTGTGTTTGATTAGTATAATTTTCCACCTGAAAAATATTGAAATTTTGGATCTTTTGGTACTCTTTTGGCTTTATTTTTCATGAAAATTGTCAATTAAAT